TTAACATTTCTGGGGGAGCTCTGGTGGCCTAGTGGTAAGGAGCTGCAACTACAATCCCAGAGGTGCACGGTTCCAATCCACCAGATGCTCTGCCGGGGAAGGAGGGACAATCTCCTCCTGTACCAGTCAGATCTGATTTGACGGTACACGCACAGAAAAATAATAAAAAAAAAATTTAACATTTCTGGGGATTGTATACCATATCCATCCATTCTTATCCTATTCTCCTCCCAGCCCCCACTACTGGGAATATACCCTGAAGAGACCATAGCTGACATCCAAGCAGATATATGCACACCCATGTTTATTGCAGCTTTGTTCACAATAGCAAGGAGTTGGAAACAACCTAAGTGCCCATCAACAAACGAATGGCTAGAGAAGCTGTGGTATATTCGCACAATGGAATACTATGCTGCATTAAAAAACAAGGAACTCATGCAATATTATTCAAAATGGTTGACTCTGGAGAACATTATGCTGAGTGAAATATCCCAGTCACAAAAGGACAAATATTACATGATGCCACTGTTGGGGAGAGACTGAGTAAGATGGGTTCAATAATGTATACTGCACTGAAACAGAGGAGGGAGAAAACTGTTTAAAAGAGATATATAACTAGGTATTTCTGTCATCACAGGAGTCTAGAGCGAGGGCTACATGGTGGAGGGGACCTGGGGGAGGGTTTGTAAAACAATGAAAGAATCCTTTCTTTTACTTTTCCATAATTTTTGACTCATGTACTTATAACTTGTTAGTCAAATTTGTGTCTTCTAGGTTGCAACACCCCCATGATACAGCTTCAAGGATATGAACATGTACGGCCAAGCACAATCAATAAGAGTGCATCTAAATTCCAAAATCAATCTCCCTAATAGTCTATGTGTTTCCTACTGCCAAAGGGGCCCTTTAGAGTAGTGAGAGAAGATCTTCACCCTGAAACCCACAGCGTCCCTTTTCAGCAGGAAGTAGCTAAGAGAATACGCCATCCCCTTTTCCTTATGAATCAGGGTGAAGTCTCTCTCAGGGAGGAGTGATAGGGAATGGCAAAGGACACACCGACAAAGGAGATTAATCAGAACTGACTTTGACAAGCACTGTGGCAATTGGACAATTAAAACAGACATTCGGATGGCGGGGAAGAAGAACAAACTGGGGAGGAGGGTAGAGAGAATGGTGCAGCAATGAAGGAATGAAAACCCAAAATCCCTGTAAATGTTCATTAAAACTAAAAAAATTTAATAAAAAAAAAAACAAACTGAAAACAAAACAAAGAAAAAAAAAAAGAACAGTGGTGCTGTGCAGTATTTGTCCCTTTGTGACTGAGATATTTCACTCGGCATGATGTGCTCCAGGGTCCCCCATGCTGCACTATGCAGCTCTGAAAAATAATGAACTTGTAAAACAGTGTTCCTTCTGCCTGCCTCAGCCCTGTTGCCCTTCCCTGTGTAAATGGGAGTGTAGCATCATAAACAGGAACCAAACTCAAACCTGCTGCCTGCATTCTGTTCCCCAAGGCTCTGCATGGTGGAAAAGAAGTGCTTTATAGAGTTTCCAAGGCTGTAAATCTGCACAGACGCAGATTGCAGAGTGCCTTCATTTCTCTCCTGTGGAGCCACTAGTGGCTCTGAACTACCAACCTGCAGGGTTAGCAGGCGAGCTCCTTATCCACCAGGGCACCTTATACACAGTGACCGTGACTGTGACCGTGATAAACTGGCTGCAGCCGACCCAAGGCCACTCCGTGTGTGACTGAGAAAAACAGCTTCACGGGTTTCCTCGGCTGTCCTCTCCAAGGGAGCAGATGGCCAGGCATTTCGTCCTCAACTGTCAACCCTGTTAGCTGCCAGGTGAAAAATCATGCAGAGGGCCTAAGCAAAAATGCAAACAGGCTTCAATCTTCAATGGTAACTGGCTGCCTCCCTAATGGGGAACTCTGGTGGCTCAGTGGAAAGGAGTTGCTCTGCCAACTCAAAGGCACATGGTTCAAATCCACCAGCCACTCTGAGGGAGAAAGATGGGCAATTTCTTCCTATGTCATTTGCAGTCTCCAAAAACCTGCTGGAAGGTCAGCTATGGGTCAGTTCTGACCCAATGGCACATAACAAGAACACCACTTCCATAATAAACTCACTACCTGTGCTGTTTGTGGCCATGGCAACAAATTACCTAAGTCAGCAGAGAAAGAACATGCCCTGGGAGGAAGAGCTGGAACTGGAAGGTAGACGTATGACTGATCTCTGCCTTACAAAATTCAGCCTTTGGCTGTTGATACAGGTAAGCTTCCTACCCTCACCAATCATTTCCCACTGACCCTTTCTTCCTAGTCTTAGCCTGGAATCAGAGAACCCCTCCGAAACCTGGTCAGCATCACAGCAACATGCAAATCTCCACTGACAAGACAGGTGGCTGTGCATCAAACCTGGGCTCTGGCATGGAAGGTGAGTTCTATTCTAAACCATCCCTGCCCCAGAAAGAAGACCTAAAGCACAGGGCACTAAGACTGGTTCAAAGGAGGTTGGTAAACAGTCTGCTTCTACTGCCAGCTTTCATGCGCAGAAGTAAAATTTTGGAAATGTAACCCATGAATGTAAATAAAACCGCAGGATATAATCCAAACACACCCAAGGCATCTCAATTTTTAATAGTCAACTCAGCTCAATAAATGCTGAGGACGTGGGTGTGCCAAGTACAAACAACGGCAGAGATTCCGGATTTGCGCCACGAGTGGCACATATAGTGAATTACTTAACACAGCCCTTCGAGCCATAGTTTTATAATTCCCATCAAATGACTGGATTGTTGTCAGGGGCCGGTGAATTGGCTACAATTCATAGTGACTTTATGAACAATAGATCTGAACCTTGCCCTCTCCTGCACCAGCCTGGTGTACAAGCCCACGGTGGTAGCCACTACCTCACTGAGGGTCTTCCTCTCTTTGGCCCACCCTCTATCTTTCTCAGCATGACGTCTTCTTCTTCCAAGGACGAGCCCTTTCTGATCACACGCCCAGAGTATGTGAGAGGATGTTTCACCATCCTTGCCTCCAAGGAGCACCTTGCTTGCAACTTCTTCCCAAACAGATTTGTTTGTTCTTTTGGAAATCCATGATACATTCAATACTCTTCTCCCACACTGTAATCCAAAGGTCTTGCGTCTTCTTTAATCTTCCCTTTTTACTGTCCAACATTAAGACACATAGGAAGCAAGGCTCCCCATGGTTTACATCAAGACTACCTTTGTCATTAAATTGACTGAGTGGGACTAGGCAAATGTGGCCCACCAGAGGGCTTGGGCAGATTGTGGAGAATGAAAATGAGGTGCATGGAACCCTGAAAAGGGGATGAGCCAGTATGGGCACCCTGCTGGACTTCAAAAGGAGCTGGCCTACAGGAGAACGGGGAACCTCACCACCACCAAGAAGGCAAGAAGGGATGCAGATCTGGACCTGATGAGCCATTTAGGTACCTCCTACCCTCAGTGACAGATGGCAAGAAAGAGCAGGGGCAGATGAAGGGGCAAGAGCAGAGAGATGGCGGGGCTGTCGAGCCCACAGAGCTAGAGAGCTGAGCACATTCAGGCAGGCAGCTGGCTGGTGGAATAGGCTGTCTCCAGGCACGCAGAGGAGCAAGGCTTGCCAACTCAGACCTACAGCTAAGCACTTCTGGGCTAAGGTTCACTGGCAGGGAAGGATGTCCCTGGGCATTTAACCAGCAGAGCTAGAAAAAGTGTGAACAAGGAAGACAGTGGGGGCCGAGGGCCAGAGACAGCTGAGGAGAGCCTTGGATCCACAACCAGACAAGGATGTGGTCTGCTGTACATAGTGCGATGCAAGTCAGGGTCGATGTGACAGCATCTAGCAAAAACAGTAAAAGGCTATCCCCGATCACAGTGGGATTGCAGATGGAAGAACTCTATCCTGACCGGTCCTGAACCTGAATTTCAACCCTCTTACTTCTCTAATAAGCCCTAAGGTTTCTTGGGAAGTCATCTAAAGATGTTTAAGTCATAATTACATTTATCTATTGTAACACATCACTCTGGCTACACAGCAGAAAGAATACAGCTTAAACCTTTTACTGCCCAGTCAAGTGACCACCGATGTGTCAGAGGACAGCTGTGCTCTGCACAGTTTTCAGCAGCTGACCTTGTGGAAGCAGGTTACCAGGGTTTTCTTCTGTAGAGCGGCCGGGAGGATTCGAATGGTCAACCTTTTAGTTAGTAGTGCAGCACAAACCATCTGAGCCAATCAGGGACCTTTGTAAGTTGTGCTGCCAACCCAAAGGCACATGGTTCGAATCCACCAGCTGCTTCACAAGAGAAAGAATGGACAATCTCGTGCAATTTACTGCCTCTGAAAACTTGCTGGAGAGTCAGCTATGAGTCAGTTCTGGCTCATATGTACCTAACAATAACAACAACAACAAAAGAGTCAGTTCCAAAAAATAAAATAAAACCACCACCAGCCCCCTCCTCCAGATTCAAGGCTCCCAGACTCCTCAGAGCTGCGGAGAGTAGCATGTCTGGGTCTGAGGGTGGGTATGAGTCTGTTGTGGCTCATGGCAACCTCAAGTCTGCAGAATACAACTGTTCCGTGGGGTTTGCACGGTGTAACCTTTCAGAAGCAGATCCCAAGCTCTGGTGGGTTAAAACCTCGTCAGGGGCAGTAAATTACACATGATTTCCCAATTCTCCTGAGGAGCAGCCAGCAGTTTCAAACCACATACCTTTAGGTCGGCAATGCAATTCCTTACCACGAAGCCACCACAGCTTCCAACCTTTTGGTTAAAAGCTCAGAGCTTATAACTATCAGCACAGTGCCTGACGCATCATAAGCCAATCTGCCACCACGACTATTACTGTTATTCTAGAAATGAGACTGCCTCAAGGCCTCATGCTGGGAAGGGGAACCGCCTCAGCCTTTTCCACGTCTCACGATCCGTCTCTGAGCTCTTCTGCTCGGCTCGCCCGAGAACTTAGGGCTGGGAGGTGGGCACATTCACCTGGGCCGCTGGGAAGCGGTGTTCCTTGTCCAGCTGGGCCGCGATGGGAACCAGCTCCTTCTCGGCAAAGTCCCGGCATGTCTGTCTCAACATCTGATGTGTCTCAGGCAGCTCCACAGACTGGTAGATTGTGTGTAACTGCTGCCAGGCCTGAGGACGGAGGGCTGTCGACAAAGAGTGGAGTCAGAGAGAGGAAAGGCAAGAGTCCTTGTACAATATGAATAATAATAAATCCACTGCCATCAAGTCATTTCTGACTCCCAGCAACCCCACAGGACGGACGAAAACTTCCCCATCAAGTTTCCAAGGCTGTAAATCTTTATGGACGCAGATTGCCCCATGATTCTCCCTCGAAGCTGCTGGTGGGTTTGAACCACCAACTTTTTGGTTAAGAAATAAATGTTTTTATCCATAGTGCCACCAGGCCTCTTTTTTGCTTGGAAATACTAAAATTCATTGCTGTCACCTTGGCACTGCCTCTTAGCTGACCGTCTAGTGGGTTTCCACGGCTGTCAAGCAAACAGAAAGAGAACGCCCATCTTACTCCCACAGAGCCATGGGTGGACTTGAAATGTCAGAAAGGTGCTGCCTTTGAGTTAATAAATAATTAATAAAATTAACAAACAAACAAACATCCTAAAGAAACCATAACCGCCACCCAAGCAGATATATGCACACCCATGTTTATTGCAGCTTTGTTCACAATAGCAAAGAGCTGGAAACAACCCAAGTGCCCATCAACAAACGAAGGGATAGAGAAGCTCTGGTATATTCACACAATGGAATACTATGCAGCACTGAAAAAAAACCCAAGGAATTCATTAAATACTATGCTAAGTGGATGACCCTGGAGGACATTATGCTAAGTGAACTATCTCAGTCACAAAAGGACAAATACTGCATAGGGCCACTGTTGTAAAACTGGACTGACATTGGGGTTGAAAGAAGACAGAGAAGAAGGGGAGGAATGATGTATACTGCATTGCAACAGATGAGGGAGAGAACTGTTTAGAACGGATATATGATTAGGTATTATTGTCCTGACAGGCGTTCAGAATGAAGGCTGCACAGTGCAGTGGACTTGGTGGGAGGGACTGCATAGCAATAAAAGTTTCTCTTTTACTCATCAAGGAGAAAAACGAATTGGGGGGGAGGGGGTGGGCAGGGAGAAAAGTGAAACAATGAATGACTGGATACCTTAAGTCTCTGTAAACTTTCATTAAAATCAATAAAAATAAACAGTACCCACTGCTCTGTTGAGGGGCTTCTCACCTTCCGTGGGCTTTCTAAGGCTGTAAATCTTTTCCAGAGGAGACTACTCATGTTTTTCTCCCACAGACCTGTTGCTGGGATCACCAAGGTTGCTTAATAATAAGAATGGCTTTCCACTAATTCAATGGGGCTCAGCCACAAGCTATCTGGAAGGCCCCCCCATAAAAAGGGCAATAGGTAATATCTGCAGACATTTTCAGTCGCCGTAACTGGGGGCAGGAGGAGGGCGACCACTGGGAACAATGAACAAGAGGCAGAGACGCAGCCAAGCATCACACAATGCCTAAGTCACCATCTGAGACAGAGCCACTGTTTCTAGGTTGCTGCCTGACTCTAATCTGATATATAAATACACCACCTGCACAGGGCAGGACAGCTCCACAGGTCTGTTCAAGAAGTAGATCAAACCACTTGCAATAAATGTCTTTTCCAAACATTAAATAAAAATATAAAGAGTAGATCATAGGCTCATCTTCCAAGTGGCCACGTCAAAATGCCAACAGGGCCCGTCCTAAAAAGCCTAGCACTGTCCCCTGTGCTAACCATTTTGCATACCCTACAGCATTCACAGCCCATAGATTATCAATGATTACTGGACTGCTATGAGAACAAACAGGTTCGTCCTGGAGAGGGTGAGCCTGAATGTTCCCTGGAGTCAAGGATTCTGAAGCTTCGTCTGACATATTTTGGGCATGTTGCAAGGAGGGACTGGTCCTTGGAGAGGGACACCATGTTTGGCAGAGTGGAGGGGCAGCGAAGGAGAGGAAGACCTTTGATGAGATGGATCGATTCTGTGACTGGAGAGGTGGGAATAAGTGCGTTTGAGATAGCTAGGTTGGCACAGGATAGAGGAGGTATAGAGCTCTTGTACATAGGGTCGCTATGAGTCGCAAAGTGACTCGATGGCACATAACAACAAACAACACCGGGTGAACTGATTCACACTGGCTCTGTTTCTATAGAAAGCAGGTGGAAGGTAGTCTTACTCAGCTCCTGGGAGTGGGAGGATTACAGAAATATCAACTCCACTGGTAGAAACTGCAGAGGATCTTGGGCAGTTTTATTCAATTATGTAGATCGGGGTTGCTGAGTCAGTGCTAATGCCACAGGCTGACAACTGTCCCGCTGAGCTGAAGGGCTAGCAGGCACGGATCTCTATGAATTGTTGACATCCAACAGGACAGAAGCCTACCCGATTCTGTGCCAATTTCATGATCTTTGACACATTTGAACCTGTTAAGGCTCTTGTGTCATTCCATCTCATTGAGGGCTGTCTGTCCTTACTGTCATTAGTCCTCAAGTTGGTAAGGAATCTGGGACCTGGAAAGGGAGCCTTTGGTGACATGTGTGGCCGGGTACAGGTGGAGACAAATAAGATAGGAAAGAAAGAAGTAGTAATTATACAATCAGTGGTTACACGAGCCACGTCCAGCACCTGTTGCCAAAACCCCCATTGTACTAAGTTTGACATACTCTTAGTCCATCCTCGCAACCAGGCGGTTTGGCACTTTGATCACGGCCACTGTGGTCATTTAACGTACGGACCAACTGAGGCTGGGGCGAGAGGGAAAGTGTTTTGCCCAAGGTCACGTTCAACCGCCCGACCTACTGTCTAGGGCGCACCCTGCCCCTCCTTGAAAGTAAAGGATGGGAGTTGGCAGACTTGGCATGCCAGCCGGACTGAGGTGAGGGTCAGAGCGGAGTCCAGGGGATCGAAGTGGGGGTCACTGCAAGCTGAGCCGCGCGGGCAGTGGTATCAGGGAACTAGGGCAAAGGCCGCGCGCGCGCGCTCAGGGAAAGGGCCGGCGCCCGCCCACGACCAGAGCAGGAGGCGGCCCAACACTTCGCCGACTGGCCCGGGTCCGCGGCCCCTCTATGCGGAGCCCGCACGCACTCACCTCCGCGGACGCGGCCACAGGCCCGGGTGAGCAGCGGGGCGGCCATGGCCGACTGGCGCAGCGCAGCAGCTCCGGGGACCTCCCGCTGCCCCGAGGCGCGCTCGTTCCGGCCTCCTCCGGGGCGGGGCCGGCGCGAGGCGTCACGTGTCTGCTCAGGGGCGTGGTCACCCCAAGCTCCTCCCCCGCTCCGCCTCCCGCTTGCGCAAAGCTCCCACGCGCCTGGGTTTGCTCCTTGGGTCCTTGAAGAAAAATGCTGAGAGCAAAGGCACGGCTAAAGCTGCTCCTTGGACACACACCCAAAAAATCCATAGGGATTCTCTTAAAGCTTAAGTAAAATTGCAACTGTCGGCATAAATCCTTCGCCAGCTGCCCCCCTCTCACCTGTCTGCTCCGCTAACCTTTGCTGACCATTCCTTGACTATCTTTGCTCCTAACCACGCCATGTGGCTTTTGTTCCTTTGACATCCTCAGATTGGGCCTGCCCCTATTGTTGTTGTGAGGTGCTGGATAGGTACGATGGATTTAATCTTACTGGTTCCTACATCATCCTCACAATCTCAGCTTTACTCAGACTCGTTGATTTTGCAATCACTGTGTCAATCCCTCATTGACAGTCTTCCTCTCCTTCAGTGGCTCTCCACTTTTCCAAGTATGATGTCCTTTTCCAAGGACTAGGTCCATCCTGACATGCCCAAAAGTATGTGACAGGAAGTCCCACCATCCTTGCCTATAAAACACCCTGGGTGCACTGCTTACAATGAAGATTTTTCTTTCAGCTGTTCACAGAATATTCACCAACACAACTCAAATATGTTAGATATAGAGCTGAGAGAGAAAAGAAGCTGGTCGCAAGTAACAAACAAGCCTTTATTAAATAGACCTGAGAGGGATGCCAGATGACCAGGCGCAGGATGGACAGACAAAAGCAGTTTCTTTTGAAATTGAGAGGAGAATGTAGTTTGCTCAGGAATTTGGGGACAGGGGTCTTGTCAGGATGTGATCAGGCTGAGGGCCTTATCAGGATCTGGCCACTAGTCCACTGTTAGGTCTCCATCAGACCTGGGAAACAGTGACATTCTTCCTCCAAAAACATCCATTTTTCAGTATTCTTTCTTCACTGTCTCACTTTCACATGCATATAAAGCAACTGAAAAGACCATGGCTTGCATCAGGCACACTTTAGTCTTTATACTGATTATCCTTGCTTTCTCCAGTCCCTTGATCTTTGCAGTCATTGTTCACTTTGCCTAAAATGCTCCTCCTAAGTGAACACCCTCCCTCCATTCCATCTCTGGTTTTTATTAATGATATTTAGCATCTGAAATCACCATCTCTCCCAGCAGCACTGACAAAGGTCTTGTTTTGCTCTTCTGTTCAACGTTTAGACCCAAATGAACACTAGGGCAATTTCTTGCCCTTAGAGGCTGTGAAGGTAGTGGGGTGGGGCTGGTCTATCTGCTTCACTCTTGTCCTGTATTCTTCCTTCCTGTGGGGCACAGCCCTGCTAGAAGCAGGTACACTGATCTCAAAAGTTAGGCTTCTGGTCCCAAGTATCTTGGTCAAGCTTGTTTTCATCTGGTCCACCCAAGAAAACAGTGGCTAGGTCCTCAGCACAGGCTGAGCCTGACTCATCCCTGGAACTACACACTTCTTTCCAGCTGTCTTTCTCCTCCAGAACTCAGCCAGGCACCTGTCATTTGCATAAATTCATGTTCCAGAAATTATCTTTCTGGATAATAAGGAGGTCTTGCTCAACCTCCTAGATCAAAAGACATGAAGCAAGTTATCTTCCCCACAGATGTATGCAAACACCAGCTTCTAGGATTCTGGTGAAAATCAAACAAGCGGCTCTTGCTGGGACATTTTCAGGGATCTCCTTCACCTTTCTACCTGAGAGCCCTGGTGGCCAAATGCGTCAGGAGTTGCACTGCCAGGTCAAAGGCAGGTGGTATGAACCCACCAGTTGTTCCACAGGGTAAAGATAGGCAATCTTCTCCTGTGTGATTTATCACCTCTGAAAACTTGCTGGAAAGTCAGCTATGAGTCAATTCACACTCAATGGCACATAACAAAAAAGCAGGGCACTAGCCCCCAGGGGAAAAAAATGAAAGAAATGAAACACAATGTGTATGAATCATTATGTGCATAGCAATAAAAATACAAAAGTGTGGTAGAGGTCAAACTTTATTGCCATAGACTAAGCCAGATTTATTTGAAAAAATATATGGCTTGTGATCTTAAATAGGATGTAAATTTTGTATTAAAAATACAGAAGTATTCAAAAAGGGCTAACAACCCTATAGTGGGTTTAAAGGTAAAAAAGGGCTAGGTTAAGGGGTGAATGGTAAACCTGAGGAATACATAGCACTTCCCAAGGGGCTAGAAATGTTCAATGTCATGACTCTGAAGGGGGAACAAATGTGCAGGTACATGGCAATACTTTTCAGTCTCCTTACAAGAAGTGAATTTTGAAAGTGTATTTTAATAAACGTAGTCTAAAAACATATGTAAATCTTCAATTCTCAAAGCCCCATGCTATTAAGTGCCAAAGAGTGTAACTCATAGCGACATTATGGACAACAGATCTGAACCCTGTCTGATCCAGTACCATCCTCCTCCTCCTCGTGTATATCTCTACATGAGCCCATTGTTGCAATGTCACTGTGTCAATCTATCTCATTAAGGGTCTTCACTGTTTCTCTACCTTTCCAAGCATGACATCCTTCTCTAAGGACCAGCTTCTCTTAGCAACAGGCTCAAAGTATGTGAGATGAAGCTCTATCATTCGAGCTGCACTCTTTCCAAGACTTACCTATTTATTCTTTTATTCTATTCATAGGATAGCATTCTTCTCCAATAGGACAGTTCAAAGGCCTCAACTTTTCTGTTATCCTTATTCACTGTCCAGTTCTCAGATCCATAGCATGTGATAAAAAAAAATGGTGTGAATCAGACGCACCTTAGTCTTAAAACTAACATCATTGCTCTTCAGTACTTTGAAGAAATCCCCGGACAGTAGACTTGCCCAGTGCAATACGTCTCTTGATCGCCTGACTGCTGCTATCAAGGGTGTTGATCATGGATACAAGCAAAATGAAATTGTTGACAATTTCAATCTCTTCTCTATCTATTACTATGTTACTAATCAGCCTGGTGGTGAGAAACTTTGTCTTCTTGATGTTGAGATACAACAAACCCCATGGAAAAAACATTAAAAATATTAAACCTAAAACATACCCTGTTCACCACTTCCAGGGAGAACAACTATGATGGTTTAATTACTTACAGAAAAAGCCACATCACAGAAAGGACAGGAGAAGCTTGGAGCCCACCCCTAGCCCGGATTAGCCCACCCACCACCACAAGATGAGAGGCTGCACATACTGTGAAAAAAAAAAATCTTCCTTTTATTCTGATCCTTTGTGGCAAAATAACATTTTATACAAATAATCTGCCTGGTTTACATTGGACACACAGACAACACAAAGTGGAATGAGAATCCTGGGAATGAAGTGGGAAAGGGGAGGACAGATCAGGTCATTGATGTTTCTTATATTCTGTGAAAAATAGATTTACAAGGAGAAAAATAGACTTTTCCCAACGTCAATGACTTCACATGATCCTCTGTGTAACAAGGGGTAAGCCCACCCCCCAGATGCTGCTTGAGGCTGAGATGTTCTGTAACATGGAATGTGAGTGACTTGATGGGGGCAGGAGAGGCACGGCAGTCGGACTGGCACACGACAGTGACCGCCGGAGATAATGGGCACTATCAGGCAGGAGCGCCCTGATTTGAACACCAGACACAGCCTACCAAATACACTCATGAATGAGTTTCAGCTCACTGAAAAAATTAAGTTGATGGGTTCCTAACCATTACAAGAATCACCAGTCTAGGGTCAGCCTTATTTATACCTCCCCGCATCATGCGCCAGGGTGAGAATATGCTGGCCCAAGACTGTGGCTGTCTTCAGGAAGTGCAAGGCCTGAAAAGAGCTTCCTCAGCTATGACAATAAGCTAACACACCAGAGGAGGTCTCATGCGAGCCTAGAACTTCCTGTAGATGGTCTCTCTTCACTCTTACAAATGCAGAATGGGATAAACCAGGGTCATCTTTAGAGAAGCAACAAGGTCATCTCAGCCCAAAGATTCGACGTAAAAAGTGGCTCTCTCTTGGGAAATGTGAAGGTGAGGGACAGAGCAAGAGGGGGCCGCAGCAGGGCCACTGCAGAGTGGCCAGCCAGTGTCGGGATGCACTTTCTTCTTAAGCTCTTCAGATGCATAGGTAGGTCTCCAGGCTCCTTGCTAACATGCCCCTTACTGATTCAACTTCACAGAAAAGCATCATTTCCAATTCACACCCCAACTCAGGTACAAAAATGTGCCTTTCAAACTCCCTCTGGTGGCACTTCAGAGTGGCAGTCCTTGTCTAGATTTCCTGAGCAGTCAAGACACAGGGATCCCCAGCCCCAGATCCCAGACCTGTGGAGAGAAAGTGGTAAGTCCCTGTCCTTCTAGGCACAGACTCCAGTGAGAATAAGGGCCAAAGGGGAGGAGGATTTGGGGCAACTCAAGCCAACGTGGGTGCTGCTCCTTCCAATTTCCTGTTCCTCTTCCTGACCAAAGCTAACACTACAGATGGAAGGAAGCCATTCAAGATTCAAGACACACATCCAAAATACACTCTGGGCTGCTCGAGATCACATCTTGGTAAATATTTCAATGTCAAATAGCAGAACCTCTCCCAGTTGGGCTCAGTCAAGGGCAGAAGGGACCTTTCAGAACACAAATCCTAGAAGACGCTCTAACAGGAGAAATGCAAGGTGAGGAGACAGTGCTGGCGTCTGTCCAGAGTAGGGAATGACCTTTGTGCCACTTTCCCAGCAGCACCCGCGGCAGAGCCACACGTAAGGCACCTGGACGTGGAGTCGATTCACCAGCTCTGGTCAGAAGCAACCTTACTGCAGGGCACACAGTTTTTGGATCCAGGGCTGGGACATAGGGGTAATCTGAGCGCCTTTTCCACGAGGGAGCTGAACAAACAGCACGCCTGTGGGTTGGCACTGGGCCGAGGTTCAAGCGTGCAGTCTTAGAATCCACACAAGAACACTGGGCTCTGAGGCCAGGGTCAACCCAGCGGCCTTGAGGCACATGTGGCCACCTCTTCCAAGCATCTCAGAACAGAGCATTCCTGTCATCATCACTGCGACCGACTGGGTACCTACCATATATTCAAGCCCTTCTGATGTTCTTCTATCAGTGCAAAACGGACCCTAGTCACAGCAACACTCATCAGAAGGCCGGGAGTTCTGGCGAAGGACCGCAAGCTTCCCACAGTCAGACAATCATAGGGAGCTGGGGAGGTGGGAGCCCAGCCAGCAAGTGTCTGTGCACAAGAGAAGCTAAGAGGATTCCCATGATGCCTTTTTGAGAACATGCATCTTGGACAGGCTAGCTCAGCCTATTTCACCCTTCCCAAATTTCCTGGACAACTGCAACCAACAGTCTAAAGGACCAGAATTTGCAGGACTTGGGTCTGACCTTCCAGGATGACTTAAGCAACTGCAATCGGCACAAAGGCAAGAAGAATAGGAAAAGCCTCCTAAAAAAGAACTGGACAGAGTCCTGGAGGCCGATCCTCCAGAATGTGCTGTGCAGAGAAAAGCAGGGGTCTCCATGAGCAGCATGCTGGTCAGTGACCACCCTGCTCTACCCGAGCCAGGGGCGCCCTGGAGCCTGAGTAACACGATGACAGGTCTACCAGAACCTCACCTGTGCTTACCATACCATTCATGTTCTATAAATTTCAAAGAGAAAAAGAAGGAATTTAAACAAACAAAAAAGTAAGATCTAGTCTGGCCCTGGCAACTACTACTATCCCATGAGCAAAACTGACACATTCGAGTTCAGGACAAACTCCTGAGTTAGAAGCTGGGTGGAGCGGAGTGAGCTCTGGCTTCCCCCCAGTTGAGATGTGATGGCACAGCCAAGCTGAAAACAGGGTCGAGCCCCAGAGACCAGCTGTGGGCTCAGGTAAGTGGGACGCACAGATGAGCAAGTCTCCCTACAAAATGCATCTTTTAGTTTAATGGTGCCACCTACCCCGGGCATCAAAGCCTCTGCCTCCTGGCACTGGCTTCTTCCAGTTGGTCAGGATGAGGCACAGGCTGAGAACGGATTGTGCGCAGACGGCAGCTCCAGAAGTGAGAGGAGGAGCAGCCTGGGAAGCTGCAGGCACTGTCGCTAACCTGCAGGGTGCCTGATCCACCTCACCTGAGCGCGGCTGTGCCCGGCCAAGCCGGAGGCTCCTCAGGAACACCACCAAGTGGCTGTGAGCGCATGAAAATGTGCTTGCTTTGGTGTCCTGATCCCTGGAGCCTTAGCCTAATTTCTTACTTTACTACAGAACCTCTCTGACCTAACGGGCAAGGGGGAGAGAGGGGAAACTACGGGGCAGAAACACAGCACTGCTTGGCACGCCCTCTGGAGCACAGGAACCAGCCTCCCATCCCAGCCTTGACTTCCTGGGCCAGGTTCCAGACGTGTGTGGAAAACAGCAGCTTCAAGCACCTCTGTGTGCCAGGACTTCATGGCTGCAGCAAAGCATCTGCCCTGTGTGTGCTCCCAGCAGTTACTGGCCTCCATTATAGGCATAATCGGCCTTGTTGTGCATTATCAGCTTGTTGTCAACAAAGTAGAAGCTGTCAGAGCGGGTTTCATAAGGATGTTCAATCATCAGCCGAACTGTGAGTCACAAGAAGAGAGGGAAATAAAAGTTAGCTGTTCGTGCCCATGGGCTGGGAGTGACAAGTGGTATCTTGTGTCAAAGTCACTAGCTAGTCCTCCTGTTTTTGTTGTTATATGCCACAGAGTTGCTTGCAATTCACAGCGAGCCTATGTACAACAGCTCTGAACCCTGCTCGATCTTGAGCCAACCTCCCTTTACCCAAGTCACTCATCAATTCATCTCATCGAGGGTCATCTTCTCCTGTGCTATCTCTCTACCCTTCCAAGCATGATGTCCCTCTTCAAGAACTGGTCTCTCCTTCCAACATAACCAAAGTATGTCAGATGAAGCCTTAAAATCCGTGCCACCAAGGAGCAATCTGCAGAACGAACATAGTTCTCCCAGACAATGCAAATACATTGTACCAGGATAATGTCAGCTAAGAGAGCTACCTAAGAGAGCTAGGGAGAACTGGAGCCCAGAGGCCCCAAAGGTGAAGAGGACTTCAAATTTAAGGTGCAATCTCCTCTCATGGTCCTCCCTGGCTCTGCTCAGGCTGGGTTCTCAGTCAGCAGTCAAGGAAATGTGGTCACCCTGCAGCCCGCTGGAACCACAGAGGCTTATTAACTGGAGACAAATATTTAGATGGGGAAATTATTTAAAAGTCCTATGAGCCCACCACGGTAAAAAAGATTTTGTTTATATCTATAACACTGATCTTGAAGCTCTTTGGGGAACCTCTGGTGACCTAGTGGTAGGAAGCTGTGCTGTGGAAAGCTGATCCATGGGCGAAGGATGGGCAATCTCCTCACATGTGATTTATTGCCTTTGAAAACCCAGTGGAGGGTCAGCTATGAGTCAGTTCCAACTTGACAGCACACAACAAGAAGAAACTCTTTTCATTTCTTTGGCAGCGAGAAAGAAAAAAAATCTGTTCCCTTGGATAAAATCTTGTAATTTATCCTCTTTACAAGAGAATCAGATGGTTTCATAAACATTTTGCCTCATGTCTCAGCAAATTTCATGTTTCAGCAAGCCTCATTTTACCTGGGAATAGCACTGCCACAAGAGCACAGGTTGGCTGGTGACCCTGTGACTTTTCAGGATCTAAGCAGAGCCAGAGAAGACCAGCCAGTGCATGGGGCTGCTCCCCCACAACTCAGCAAAGGATATCATTCACGTCCACTTCAATGGTCTAGGAAACAGCTGAACCAAGGGCACAGAAGCTAACATCAATCAAGCCTATTCTTACTCTCCAGGTCAGCCTTCACCTGAGCCATGTAGTGACCTTGTCCTCTCACTCCCCAGCTCTGCCTGTATACCGCAGTGTGCCAACTTTTCCTAAGACGCTGCCTCCTTCATGTCATCCTTTCTATGCACAGCCAACCCACTTCTTACTGGGTCAGCTGCAACAGTGGATCTAAGCAACCTCTACTGCAGGGAAGGAAAGAGGGCAGGCCCTCAGGCCTCTGGTTCAATTTATCTGACAGTCTGATATGTACCCCATGATTAATAAAAACATGAAGCACTGATGCTGTATGCTGGGCAGGAGCAGTGACTAGAGCAGAGTGGAAACTACGAATAGCAGGGGTGAGGAGAGGGCCATATCTAATCAGAGCTATAGGGACTGTCACAGGTCTCCCCTTATCTCCCTCCCTTTCCCATAGTAGGCACTTGGCCTGTGCTAATAAAAGCTCCCATCTGGGTACAGCCTGGAGAAGGCAGAAGCTAAGCGTAAATCAGATTGCTATTTTTCTCACTTATAAAGTGAGAGCAGTGGACAGTGGGCCAGAAGGATACAACATGGCCCTAAGAATCTCGGGTAAAAGTTAGGAGATACATACTGACATCCTCAGAAAGCTGGGGGAACTCATAGATATGTTCACATGTGTTCCTGCTGCTGGGAATGCAGAACCCGAAATCAAAGTCAAAGTTCTTCAGCAAGCGCTCCCGAAAGTAGTGCCGTTCGATCATCCGGAAGTTTGACACAGGTCTGTCTCCCACGGTGAACTCCACCCTGCAAAACACACCTCCGTGAGCTCCCTCTGTGGCATTTCCTTCTCTAAGGCCAACCCAAAATTCACCCGAGCACACCCCCTCACTGTGAGCAAGGTCATCCCCCCTCAGGAACCCTGTAACTCACGTGGCCCCAACTGTCCGGAGACGGAGAAATGCTGGCGTGAACTGATAGCGCACAAAGCGTCCGGCACTTATATCCACATCTCCAGCCTCTTCCTCCTCCTCCTCCTCCTCTGGGTCTGTAGAAGCACACAGAACCATGCATGAGTGCATTTCTTGGGAACCCCAGTCCAAATGGCACAAACACCAGGGCAGGGAAGGAGGGCTGGGTGTTTTACTACACATGTGCTATGTCCTCACTTAAGATGGTGTTAGTCCCCTCATTTTTTTTTAAGGTGTATAAACTATTTATTAATAGACAAGGCCTAAAAGAGACTTATTTCTCCTCAGACACACCCACAGCACGGCCCCAGTGGCCTGTGGTTTTGGCATGCTGGCCTCAAGCTGAAAGGCCCCAGGACTGACTCAGTCTTCTGTGAGTATAGATCTTCTTCCATCGCTCCTGGTCTTCATAGAGTTTTGTTGTCTAGACCATTGGCTAGAACCAGACTGTATTTTCCATCAAGAACCTGTCTGTAACCTTATACTGGTGTGGGTTCCACATAATGGTGATCTGGCACTTCACCTCATCCTCGGTGAGCTCTCCTGACCTCGTGATGAGAACGATGTCTGCTCTCTCCTCAGCATCACATGAGCAAATCTTTGCCCTACACCCTTAGAGGAAGAGATGGCAAAGACTACTTCCCACTGCCCATTGATGCTGATGTTAAGTACTCACAGAATGTGCTGGATCAAAGTGCTCTAGGATCACTAGAGACACCAGGGTGGCAGAAGTGGTGGCATGTAGGCCTCTGTTTGAAGCTAGTTCCCTAATCATAGAATTAGGAAAGTTCAAGTTCAGAAAGGTTAAGTATCAAGTCCAAAGTCACTCAAGTGGCGAACATAGGGAGGCTGAATTCATCCCAAATCCACCTGACTCAAGAAGCTACTCTTTGTGTATTCTGACACAGAAGAGATTTGCTTTTTATATATCATTTGGGGGCTTGGGCTTTGCCCTAAGGGTAGAGCCTGGAGCACATGCTGGATTTCACTTTGACACCATCTATATTTTATAGACGAGGCCTGCTGCTGACCAAGTGAAGTACTAACCACTGACCAAAGAATAAGAATATAAAAGTTGAACATAACCAAAAGGTCCTTCAATGTGAATGGAAACATTTCTGACAGGCAGTGAGGTAAAATCATGAGAAGTAATTGCATTAGTTAAACGAAAGCTGTGACCTTCACACGCACCAATCACTAGGCCTTTGTCCTCCAGAGTGGCTGGTGGGTTGGAAATGCTAATCTTCTGGATAGAAGCCAGCTACTTAACCACTGTGCCACCAGGACAGAGTACAATGTCAGAGGAAGCCCTCTGCAGCATCCTAATACCCCTGTCACAAGCCCAAGAGCAAATGGACAAGCAGACTGAGTAAAGAGTTTGTACCTGAGGACTCTGAAGTTCCAGCCTCTCTGGGGGAGTCAGATCACATCCACTGAGGGAGTCAGACGCACCAGAGCAAGGGTGAGAGGAGGTCTTCTGAGTGAATCAAGATGCCCGTTCACTTTTGTACTGAAATTACTACTGAGCCCTGTCTAAGCCAACTCTGCACACCTGCAGTAGCTCTGAGGTCCCTGAAACATTCCAAGTACTAGGACGTGTGATTTAGGGGTATGAACACCGCAGACCCTAGAAGTTAGGAGGGTCTGGCCTTCTCTCACATAGTAAGCACCCACAGGTTTGAGCTGTTAGCTGTCCCAGTCAGTACTAGATCATGAGAGCATAAACACTGGGTGGGGCGAGGAGACCAGCCCAGCCTTGACTGTCATAAATCTGAGCTGAGACTGCAGACAAGTCCCAATTCATCTTCGATCATAATACTTGGCTTATCAAATTGGCAGGCTCTTTTTAAGTAGCAAATGAAAAGAGAATACCCTTGATAGCTTTTTTAAAAAAATGATATTACAGACCATGGCGTTCTGATATCTGATTAATTTTAAGGGTATCAAATCACCAGTATTGGGTTTCAAAGACTTATGGAGTCCCCTTAGAGAGACATTAATTACTTGGAAACAACATCCAAACATGAGACGAGTACAGCCAGGGCTAATTTAAATAGGTGAGTTTTTGATCTGGGCTCTCTGTTCTTCAAAAAAATGGTGGCAATTAAAGTTCAAACTAGGCTTTAGTGGGGAATCCGAGGAACTATTTCAAGGAAAGGATGACAAGGTGAAGCTCACACTGCCTCATGGTCTGGACTGAAAATCCCAATGTCACCCCTCCAGAATGTCCCCAGGATTCAAGGCTCAGGTGAACTTTTGTCATTATCTTTTCTCTTAAAGGATTTCTTTGCTCATTAGTGGCAATGTGATTAGTGACAAGGAGCAGAGAAAAACCACTAGAAAGCCACTTGGAAATTCTAAGCCTCAGTTTCTTTAACTGTAAAATGGGGATGATAACATGTCCTCACAGAGTTACGAGGATTACAGTAGTTGATGTGCATATTCAACTGTTTAATACAATGACCAACAGATAGCCCAATAAATGCTTCATGGCACAGCTTCAGATCAGCACACCCACCAGGCCCTTAAGTGTTCCCAACAGGAAAAGGAGATGCACTTAAACAGGGGATCATGGGAAGGAACCAAGCAAGTGGACCATGTCAGAATCTATGACACACAACAAACAGTTCCAGCCTCAGGAAAGCTTCGTTCCAAACTCACAGGTGAGGCCTACCTGACACACAGGGTTTGGCGATCTCAAAAAGCACTGTTCCCGTCTCCAGATCGCGAATTTTGAAGCGGGTGAAGTCAATACTGTAGATGTTGTCTTCAGGTTTGCACAGGTAATCTGAAAGGGAGAAGAGGGGACAATGCTCTTAAGGAATCTCTCAAGGTATTTCCGTTTTTAATTTATTTCCTTACTAAAGTCTCACGTTTTGACTTCAGGTTCATTCTTATATAATTGATCTAAAACACCATTATGTTGCCTCAAGTCGTGTGAAGAGAACTAAGGGAGCCAAGAAAAAAAGAAAAAAGGGAAAAAAAAGAACCTGAATGAAAGATTGTCCTAATTTCTATTTTTATATCTTAAAATCATAGGCGGCTGCCAGTATAGTCACAGGGGGTTGCACTGCTAACACAAAGGTAGTTCAAATTCATCAGTGAAGAAAGATGAACAATCTCCCGTGCGTTTCACAGCCTCGTGAAAACTTGCTAGAGAGTCAATTGTGAGTCAGTTCCAACTTGATAGCCGTAATAGAGAGAGGTATGTTGGAATAAGGGGTAGGAAAAAGGGATATGAGGCAGTGTGGGAAGGACACCTCAAATGACCTATTAACCTTTTGTGATTAAAAAAATAAATAAATCTCTTTTCGAGCATTATAATGGGTAATACAAGAACTCTGACTGCCTAGTGCTAAGGAGTTACACTACCAATCCAAAGGCAAATGGTTCCAATCCACTAGATGCTCCACAGGAGAAACATGGGCAGTCTCTACCTGTGCAATTACTGCTTCTGAAAGCCCACTAGACAGTTCTGACTTGAAGGTACATAATAACAACAATGGATAACACAGAGTCCTGGTGGTGTGGTGGTTAAGCACTTAACTGATAACTGAAAGGTTGTCAGTTCTAGCTTACCACTCGCTCTACTGGAGAAAGATGTGATAGTGTGCTCTGTAAAGATTTACAGTCTTGGAACTCCTACGTTGTTATGTGGCATCAAGTTGAAACTGACTCACAGAGCACTCTACGGTTTTTCTAGGTTTTCAGAGGCAATAAATCACACAGGAGGAGACTGCCCATCTTTCTCCTGTGAAGCAAGCCGTTGTTGGATTTGAACAATGTGACGTTCCTCGAAGCCACCAGAACTCCCCTGAGGCTCAGACAGGGGAGTTCTATGCTGCCCTAAAGGGTTACCAGTGTTGGGTCAAATCCTAGGTAAAGAATGGATAGTATAAAAGGACTCCTGGTGGCCCAAAACGGTGCTCTGGTGGTATAGTCCGAAGGGAGGGGCACTGCTAAACCAAAGGCCAGCAGTTCCAATCCACCAGGAAAAAAGATGCACAATTTATAGCCTGGAGTGTCAGCTATGAGTGCGTTCTGACTCAACAGCAAGTTGAGTGAGTGGTGGCAAAAGAGTTAATCACTTAGCCTGTAACTGGAAGGCTGATAGGTCAAGCCCACGCACCAGCTCTGCAGGACAAAGACCTGCTGATCCAACGGGGCAGCTGTCTTCTGTTCCTGGGGTCACCCTGGGTCAAAAAATGGACTCAATGGCACCACACGCCAACAATGGATAATATGGTGCTTGTTGGTCACATATGAATGCAATACAGCCAAGTCTTTCAGGCAAAGATCAGATGGTGAATATTTCAGGCCCTGCAAAATCCTCAACTCTGCTCCAGTGGCACAAGGGCCACCACAGGCAGTACGCAAATGAAGGTGCATGGTTGGGAGCCAATCTTCCTCACTTCAGAAACACTGCAATTTGAATTTCATGTCATAATCATATCTCACAAAGTAATCACTTGACTCATCTTTAAACATTCAACAATGTCATTCTTAGCTTATGAACTATAATACATCAGGCGGTGGGGAGGGTCCCGTGAGGGTCCCTGGGGAAGGCGGAGGTCAGCTAGGGCCTGCAACAGCCTGAACAGCTAATGAAACAGCATGCTCCTAGGTCATTTCCCGAAGTTACAGACTAAAATCGGCTCCCTTTACTGCTTAATTTCCCCACATCCCTACAATGTTTCTAGACAGCATATTCTCTCCACAGTTCCAACTGGCACTGGATCTTATACTGACTGTTTGCTTAAGTCGCTTTGAGCTTTGCAAGCTGTCTTTCCAGAAACTGCACACTTGAAAGCCACTCATTCGTTTTTACCTCTCCCCCCAAAAAATCCCACAGAGATGATTTCTGGACCTTAAGAGTGTCCCCAGTAAACCAACTGCTGAAGGGGACAGGGAGAGGAGGAATCAATTCCAAGGGTCACCAGCTGTACCCTGTGGAAGAGAAAAGGTGGTGCTTTCCAAGATGGAATGCAGATGTCTGTTTCAGTACTATAGCACCAACCTAGGCCCCCCAAAACAGGCTCCAAATGACCACCTAAGACGTCAGGCGCTGGGTATTTCCTGATCGAAAGAGTCCAAAAGGAAAAGTGGGTCAGAACAGAAATGGCTTTTCTCACATTGTCCCTCCAGAGACACACCCAGGCATGCAAATAGGCAATCTCCACCCAAACAGAGTGTGTGTGGGGAAATGGGGCCAGTAAAGTACACAGAAATACAGTCAAACCTTTCTAAGAGATGAGACCACGTCTGCAAGTCGGCTGGATCAAGACCCACTTCCCTTAGACCTCCATCACCAGGTCACTGGGGCTTGCCACCCGTTCCCGGGGTTTCGCCCGAGCAGCTCTGGGCTGATTTGCAAGTTAGATTGACACCAAGGCTGCCAGGCGAGCCAGGACGCCGGCAGAGCTGGGGTTTCAGGGAGGGAATGGGCAGGGCGCCCCAGGTCTGACCAGGTAACAGTAGCTCCTTAGGGGAAATAATACCAGGAGCCCGGGCTCATTGAAAGGAGGAAGCAGCACCAGGTCAAGGTTGGGCGCTGTGCTTCTCCCCGCGCGAGACGGGTTGGATTTTACGCAAAATCCAGCACGCTGGATTCACTGAGAGCAAACCTAAAAAGAAGTACGATTCACATTTTCCGATCTTGTTCACGAACGGAAACTTTTGCAATTTTTTTTTTTTAAAGAATTGTGGCAAGGTTTTAAAGGTGCAGAAAATGCCCGGCAAGGCGTTTGGGGAAGGCAGCGCCCACCTGCACACAAAGGGGTCCCTCCCGGGGGCAGCGGGGGACGGAGGGCGGCGGGCAGGTGGAGGCTCCGGCCGCGCAGAGGGTGCGGAAGCCGGGGACACGCCGGCTGAGCGGGAACCTCACTGATTCAGGGGGACCCAGCCTGGGGAGAGCAAGGGGTCCCCAACTGACCAGGGACACCAGGCGTCCGGCTTGGTTGAAGGGGGAGCCCCGCCTCGGCCCGGAGGTCCGGCGGGGTGGTCAAGCTCAAGGGGAGCCCCTTCCCGGCTCGGGGTGGACAGCGGAGAGCGGCCCCCGCCCGCGGAGCTGCGAAGCGCGCGGCCCGGCCGCCAGGGGCCTGGGTGGCCCTCGGGCCGGACGAGCGGGGAGTGGCCGCGCGCCGGCTGACGGCCACCCGGGGGTCGGGGCCTGGCACGAGGGGAGGGCGCGACGGGCCCGGCACTCACTCTCGGTGACCCGGCTGAGGCGCAGGACGTGCTCGGGTCGGATGGTGTCCAGCGCCAGCAGCTCCTGCTCGGTGACCGCTGCCCCGCCGCCGTCGTCGGCTGCGTGATGGGGCGCCTGCCGCCGCGCCTTAAGTCGGTTCAGGACGCCGGCGCCCGCCTTTTTCTTGTCCTCCTTGCCGGCCACCAGCGCCCCGGGCCCGGCCGCCGGCCCCGCGGCCACTGTCTTCGGGTTCGACCCGCTCATCGTTCCGCCGCCAAGATGGCCGCCGCCTCCACAGCGCCGTAACTATGGAGGCGGGGGCGGGGCCTGGCCGGCACCTGGGACGGGGCGGGGCCAATGGGGCGGGGGCAGCTGCGGGGCGGGGCCAATGGGACGAGGGCAGCTGCAGGGCGGGGCCCGAGGCCGGGGGTTGGGCCTTTCACAAACCACACCAGCCCGCTGAGGAATTGGAGACTCTCCTCCATCAGCCACATTTTACTTTTTTCTTCACCTTTTACTTTTATTTTGTACCAGCAATTGATTTTCTATTATGCTATTATTTTCTATTATAATATTTCTATTATTCTATTTGGATAATTGTTGTTGTTGTTAACGTGCCGTCGAGTCGCCTGCGACTCATAGCGACCCTACGAACAAAAGACCTGAACCCCATTCTATAACTATCATTGTTTCTCTAAGTTCATAGTTTCCAGAAGCATGTTGCCTAAGAAGTGGGTGCCACTTCTGCTTCCAAACTTGTCAATCTGGGAGCTCCACCAAACACTGTCAACTATGGGTAATCATTATGGCATCTGACACACCAGTGGTATAGGTTCAGCATCACAGCAACCCCAAGATACTGAAGTACAGCAAATTGACACACCAGTGATCTCTAGATAGAATCTTGATTAAAACAGCGCTTGCATCTTCAGGACCACCCTCCGGTTAGACTGAGGACATCATGATTGGACGGGTGGAGGGCCAGCACAAGAACCTGAAGAATCTGCAAGTGTTAATTGACACAGTAATTGGGTAAGTGTGTCAGAGACAATGTGACTGTGCATAGGGTCGAGTGAACAACAAATCTTACTAGGGGAACTCTAGTGGGTTGTTTGTTACAAGGTGCTCATTGAGGGCAACCCAGAAGTCTTATGAACAGATCTGACCTTGTCTTACATGTTCCATCTTCACCATCTCTGACACACTTAGAGTCCACCGCTGCAGTCACTGTCAGTCCATCTTGTGGAGGGTCTTCCTCTCTTTTGCTGACCCTTTACCTTTCCAAGTATGATGTCACTCTCCAAGGAATAGCCTCTCCTAGCAACATGCCCAATGTATGAGATGAAGCTTTGTCATCCTTACCTCCAAGCAGCATTCTGGCTGCACTTTCTCCAAGACTTATCTATTTGTTCTTTTAAGCAGTCCATGGTGGAGGAAGACTGTCACAGTTGCCCCTAGGCCTGATCACTCTTTGAAGAAACCTGATAATTTCTCCTGATAAGGCTAATCACCCATATTATCTTCCCTAAAGCAGGAGGATGGGCAAGCTCCTCCTGTGTTATTGCCTCTGAAAACTCACTGGGTCAGCTAGAAGCCCCTATAAAAAGAAAATTGTCCACGGCTGCCCATTTTTACCTTCTCTGAGAGGTTGGTGTCCCTCTCAGACCATGCCAATAGAAGCCTGTTCATTTCTTGGAACTAGTTTCCCTCTCCCTTTTTTCCTAACACATGAAACATTCACTACTCTTGTCCAACACCATAGCTCAAAGGCATCAATTCTTCTTGTCATCTTTACTCACTGTCCAGCTCTCAGATGCATAGCAAGTGACTGACAAGACCATGGTCTGAATCAGACAAACCTCAGTAATTAGGAGAGGTTCCTAACAGCAGTCTTTACAGTAGTCAAGACATCTCCTGACTGCTGGTACAAAAGGTGTTGACTGTGGATCTAAGTCAGATGAAATCGTTGACAATTTCCATCTTTTCTCCATCCATCAGGATGTCCAGCGGTGAGGATCCAAAGGTGAAGGCTGCTGTTGTTGACTGCTGTCATATTGAGCACGACTCACAGCGACTCCATGAACAAAATAATGCCTTTCTATAACTATTGTCGTTTCTCCAAGTTCATAGTTTCCATAGGCATGTGGTTTAGAAAGTGGATGTCACTCCTGCTTCCAAACCTGTTTTACAACTGGGAGCTCCAACAAACACTGTTCACATTGGGAAATCATTATGGCATTTCACACCCCAATGGCACAAGGTTCAGCGTTACGGCAAACCCAGATTACCTCAGTACAGCAAATTGGCAGAGTGATGTCCATAGTGGAAGAATGTTCCTCCAAAATATAACACTAGTCTGACGTAGTGGTTAAGTATCATCAGATCAACTACGACTCAGAGTTACCCTACCAAAAAAAAAAAAAAAAAACCTGAACTATGTTCTATAATTAACTTCATTTATTTATGTTGTTAAGAGTTTCCAGAGGCATCCAAAGTTATATCCAAAGGTAGGTAGTTCAAATCTCTTTGAAGGAGAAAGATGAGCCATCTCCTCCTGTGTGATTTATTCCCTCTAAAAAGACCATGAATTGGTTCTTACTGGATGGTACTAGGGAGCTTGGGGGGATTAGTGCTAAGGAGTTACAATGACAACCCAAAGGCATAAGGTTCCAATCCATGGAAGAAAGACGGACAGTCTCTTCCTGTGTGATTTTTCTGTCACTGAAAACCCACTGGTGAGTTACTTATGAGTTGGTTTCATAATGCAACAACAAACCTTACTGAATCTACTCTAGGGCTGGGTTATAGGAAATATTACCCTCTATTTGAGTTTGTCTCATTCTTTGCTGAATTCCTAGCCATAACTAATACCTGATAGTGATCGCCGTTCAATGATCGAATGACTGCGTGAATGAACAGTGAAAGCTTGAACTGCTCTGACGGAACCCCCAGGAAAACTGCTGGGCACATAATTCACTGTGTGGCTGTTCCCCTTGACCATACAAGTAGGAATTAACTAGAACAAGCCAGTATCTGCTAACTTTCACAACAGGTGTACAGCAAAAGTGCTATTAGGGCACACCAAAACCAAAAAAACAGATCCAGTGCCAGCCAGTTGGTTTTGATTCACAGGGACTCCGTGGGGCAAAGAATTTCCCTGAGGGTCTCCAAGTGAGCTTCCACATCTTTCCTGGAGAAGCAGCTGGTAGATTTGAACTACCAACCTTTCAGTTAGCAGCTCAACATTTAACCCACTGTGTTACCAGAATACCTGACATTCATGATTACTTTTGCCCAGCTACATTGAAAGCTTGACGGGTTAAGGAGAGACCTTACAGGGTACTCTACCTTGGGAGTCAATCATGGTCTCACCTGTTGAAAAAGTGGGTGGGGGGAGGCTGCTATCTTACACCCAGAGTAATAGAGGCCTTGAGCTGGTCCCAGAAACCCACTCTCCTGGGTTGTTTCTGAGATTGATCATGGCAAAATGTATATGCCCAGCCTGATACCACCACTCAGCCAGACTTAAGCTGGAGTGTGATACCCTCATTCCACCCTGGTTAGCCCCATGGTCATCCCTTTCTTATCATCAGTGAGAACAGTCTGGGAAGGTTCCTGGACCAAGACTAAGCCTGAGCCCACGCTCGCTGCCAAACTGGGTGGAATTAGGTGGCCAAGGTCCCAACTATATGCTGCCTTGTCTTGGAGAGATTAAAAAAAACCACTGGGCAGCACTTAGCAAACCTTTCAGGGAGATTTTAGTAAATGTGTACAAAGAATAAAAGTCTTTCCCTTTGCAAACAGTTCTTTTTGAACCAATCAACGGTGAACGGTTACTCAAGAATTTCTGGAACTTTTAGTATGTTAACTCAATTAGGAATGGCCAAGAGTGGGCTTTTAGCCTGTTTCCCACACGCACTTGCTCAATAAACCTTTGTTCTCAAACTGCCAAGACTAGCTTCTGGGACCCCAGCTTCTCTTTCTAGGGATGACTACAAATGAATGTACTAAGTTCTTTACCTGCAATTCCACACCCAGGAACTTGGCCAACCCATAAGCCCAAGAATATTCACTGCAGGACCATTCTGTAATGTCAAAAAATTACAAATAAGTTAGTAAGTGCCTCCATGGTCGATCTATGTCTAATAACATGAATAGATCTCAAAGATCAAATAAGTAGGGAGAAAAAAAGCAAGTCACAGAATCCTACCTCTGGGGGAAAAAAATCTAAGAATATACAGAAATGAAATGTTCCGTCAGAGTGCTGGAGAGATATATGAGTGCTGACTTTGGTTTTCCCTTTGGGAAGTAAACAGGAAGATGGTGTTCATAGTAGTAATAGCCATTTCTGTACTACTTTATCACAGCAAGTATGTGATCACAGGTTGCATGTGTACTTTTTTAAAAAACAAAATATATTAAAAATCTGGAACAAGAGGTGCATTGCACAGTGAATGGGGGAGGGAGAAGGGAGGAAAATGTACAACAATAAAAGAAAACTCAATCTTTCTGTAAACCTTTGTTAAATAAAACCCCACAAAATATAAAGAAAAAAAAAACAATCTTGGGATCGGAGCTCTGGTGGCCTAGTGGTAAGAAGCTGTGGTGCAAACTCAAAGGCACATGGCTTAAATCCACAAGCTACTCTGCAGGGGTAAAAGAAGGGGAATCTTCTCCCATGGAGTTTACTTCCTCTGAAAACCTGCTAGAGGGTCAGATATAAATCAGCTCCGACCTGACAGTACACATCACCATCTTGAGATCTGTGCCTAAACGATGGACTTTATGCCAAAGCAGCTTTATTTTATCTCAAAATTTATAAGCATACATGATAGTTGTTATGTGCCATCGAGTCATTTGTGACTCATAGCGACCCTATGTACAGCAGCCCTAAACTCTGCTGTCCTGTGCTAATCGCACTGTCTCTGACACTCCCATCCCAATTACCCCAGTCATTCAATCAATTCACCTCATTAGAGGGCCTTCTCCTCCTGCACTGCCCCTCCAACCTCCCAGGCATGATGTCCTTCTCCAAGGACCAGTCTCTCCTTACCTGTCCAAAGTATGTTAGAGGGAGCCTCAGAATCGTTGCCTCCAAGGAGCCACCCGGTTTAACCCTTTCCAGGATCAATCTGTTTGTTTTCCTAGCAGTCCATAGTACATTCAATACTCTTCTCCAGCACCACAGCTCAAAGGCATCAATCCTCTTTCTATCCTCCTTGGTCATTGTCCAACTCTCTGATGCATAACAAGTGATTGCAAAG